GCTAGTTCACAGTTACCCAAGCAGGAATTCCTGCAGGGGACCCCTGGACCGCCTTTGATCAGACTCACAAAATCCCCCGCCGGGGAGATCTGTCACACGCGACACCATGCCACCGCCGCTCCTATATTTTCACCACCTGCTTGCTCTCACCTGTTTGCTCAGGCTCCTGTACGCCGGGCCCTGTGCTAGACATGGAAGCTTCAGGGCTTCCTTGCAGGGTGCCCAGGCCAGCAGGGGGGTGGGCGGGATGCTGCTGCAGACACTGTGGCCCCATGGACAGATGTGGCCATCATTCATACTTTCCTTCTCTGCCTGTGAGTGACCCTCCTCACCTGTAAAGGCCCCACTCTGTGGCCACTAACTCTGCTCTCTGCAGGCCCTCGCTGGCTCCCAAGATGTACAGCTAGCACCCAAGGGTCACTCTCTTGGTGGGGCTGTGATGATCTGGGCTTGAGCCTACCTCCTGGCCGACTGTGAACCTCCCCACCCCTTCCCCAGACCCTCTACGTACTTGGCCTTCAAAAGTGGGCATGTGAGCTGCGGTCCCCAGGGCCCCTTGAGAGGGCTGCATTGCCGCACCCACATGTGACAGAGCACCACTATGTGGGTCCTTTGGATCGTGAGCTCCAGGGGCAGGGCCCAGTCCCCGTCTGGCATGAGCCTGGGGAAGGCTCAATGGGAAGCTGCTCAGGTCTGGGTTCAAATCCCAAGAGGCAGAACCTTCCTAACTGTAGGAGCCACATGCTCATGGCCTCACTACAAGGGAAGAGGGGAGGGTTGCCCTGGGTTCAGTGCTGTGCTATCCCAAGCTGCTCAGATGCTGCCCCCAGAGGGGCTGCTCCAAGGAGCCAATCTCTGAGTCCTGCCAACTAAAACCACAAGCGGAGGGAAGGAGGCCAGGGTTCATTACAGCCCATAATTGTGAAAAACCCAATTATGACTTAATTTCATAAAGTACTCTTCCTATTTCTCTGCGACCAGGCTGGATCATTTCTCTGCAAGGAGGAGTGATAAGAGTGGTGTGGGGATGTGACAAGTGGCTCCACGGGCTGAGGGCTGGATGCTGGACCTACTTTCTCACTGACCTTGTTCAGGTGAGGAAATGGAACAGGAACGGCTTTGTAAATAGTAACAGTGGGCAAACATGAGATGTGGGCTGCTTAGAATTTTCTTTTCTGAGATACAACACCCACTTTGGTTCAAGTATCACATATTAAGCACACCCACCAGACTACTGTTGGGGACACAGGTGAGTTAAGATCTGAATCTCACTTTAGGGAGACAAAACCTAATGAGGGGCAAATGTCAAAGTAACCGGGGAAGCTCTGCACAGCAGTGCCTGGGACTCCAGGGGGTTCTAGCCAGAAGGAACGGCTTCCTGACAAGGAGCTTGGAAAGCTTCCCAGCCATGTGGGGTTCTAAAGGATGGGATCTGCCAGGTATCTAGAGGGTGGGGAAAGTTCTAGAAGGTACAGCACAAGCAAAGGCACAAAGAGGTAGAACACTGTGGCACTGTTCAACATTCCTGATCCAGAAACTTCTTCTGAGCATCTTGTTGCCTCCAACACTTATGGAAGGAAAGGGGGTTGGGCTCCACTTGGGGTGAGTCTTACCATGCCGGGCCCCTGTGAACAGTGGCCCAGGAATGGGCTACATCCTGGGGTCTTAGGGATTGTCCAGAGAGTCCCCTCACCCTACCCAGCTGAGAGCTAAAGGACCTAAAGGCTTGTGATATCAGTGGCCTTTCCCAAATTTGAAGGAGATTCGATTGACCCTCTGACTTTTCTCCTGAAGGATGGACAACCCCAGATTCTTGGCCATCTTGGGTAAAAGTAAGGGTGATGCAGCTGATCCCTCCCTGTGTGGGAAGGATGCTGCTTGCCCAAGGCCCTCTAAAGGATGTGTTTCCCTGTAAGGCTTTGGCTAGCCATCCCTCATTTTCTGTTCCACTTGTATGACCCAGGCTCAGTCAGAGCCCATGGGGTGGAAAACCCACAGCCATTCACAGTCCATAGGAGGAGGGCCTGCCCTGAAGTGGCAGTGGGAATAAATGCCCCAAAGTCAGGCATGGGGGATGCTGGAAGCTTCCCTACAGAGTAAGCATTATCAGTCAGGGCAGGAGAAGGGGGGTGTGGAGTTGCAAAGGGATCTCAACAGGGGGCAGAAACAGGTTTTTCCTTCACAGTAAGAACTGGCCTGTGACCCAAGTGTATGCCTTCTGGGGACAGTGGGGGTGGCTTCCACCCATCCTGAGTCCCCAGCTCCCCAGGAGGGGCCCTGGTGGGGCTGTAGCTTAAATGCAGGTTCCTGAGACTGGTGGCTGTGCCCTGGTGGATGCAAAGGCACCCAGTCCATGTGCTGATCTCAGAGGGGAGGGGGCCCTTGCCACCCTTGGGGGTCTCATCCTTGCTGCTTCTGAGACTGTGGAGGCCATCACTGCCCCTCTGAGCTACACGGAGCGGATCTGAGCTTGCATCTTGGCTCAGATACCTACCAGCTGGATGACCTTGAGCAGCTCAGATGACTTCTCTGAGCCTTGGTTTCCACTTTGCACTAACAATACCTAATGGTATTAACTAACGAGGTTGTAGGGAGGGGTAAGTGTATGTGGTGTGAATGTGCATGGCTTCCTTACAGATCCCTGGTCCAACCCCCTTCTATTTTTTTTTTTTTAAGATTTTATTTATTCATTAGACACAGTGAGAGAGAGAGGCAGAAACACAGGCAGAGGGAGAAGCAGGCTCCATGCAGGGAGCCTGATATGGGACTCAGTCCTGGGACTCCAGGATCATGCCCTGGGCTGAAGGCAGGCACTAAACCGCTGAGCTACCCAGGGATCCCTCCAACCCCCTATAATCACCGTTATACACGGGTGGTGGAAGCCAAGGCCTGGCCAGGGGTGGGGATGCTCTGCCTGGGTGGCCTCTGCACACAGTGGGAGTTTGGACATTTGGTGTCTTAGAACTGTCCACCCAGAGCTGACTTGCTTCCTGCCAGGTGAAGAGAAACATCAGGAAGGCTCCCCGAGGGAAACACAGACCTCCATGAGAATCTGAGCTACTAGCACAGCCCGTTGGGAGCCAGCACCTCACTTCTGTGTGATCCCCCATGATGGAAGGAGATGGGAGAGGCCCTCACATCAGGTTCATGGACCCAGCCCAGCTAGAGCTGCAGCTCTCCTCAACAGCTCTCCTCACTTGGGTCCACATTCCTGGTGCTAGAACCACAAACAGGCTTTTGTAACCCACCCCAGGGGCTTGCTTCCCATAAAACAATTTATGCGCTTAGATAGCAAACTTTCACTGTTTTTACTACTTCCTACAGACTGAGCCTCTAATGACTGATAAAAGATTTCTGCTAAAGACGCCAGCTGAGAAGCTCATTATCTGGGAAAAGCCAAAACTGCTAACTCAAGACAAAGTAGCTTCGGTCTTGGCAGGCAGGGAAGGCAGTGCCAGGGAAGCCTCGAGCGGGCGATGGCTTCCAGGATGGACAGGGAAACACAGGTGTGTCATTCTGTCATCAAATGCCCGTATCTGTGCCCATCACTGGGAAAAGTGCAGTGATCCCACGCCCTAGAGTCTGGGGGCTATAAGGAGGCCATTGGCCCAAGAAGCTGAATGCTGGAGGGGTGGTAAATGCCAGTGTAAAGTGATGATGAGACCGACTCGCAGGGCAGCTGCAGCTGCTGCAGCAGCAGCTCAGCAGCCTCTCAGTGGGCATGCCCTGGACGCAGCCCTGAGCGCTGTGGACGGAGGTCTGTACTTGCCCAGTGCAGGGAGCCAAGCGCCTGGGGATGGTGTGTCCCAGCAGCCTAGAAAGAGGGTATGCTGCCTCAGCCAAGGCCCGAGGGGGCGGATTCCTCAGGCTTCCTCCTGCACCAGGGGTGACTCCAGTGGCAGGGTGGGTGCAGGAGGGTATGAGTGGTGGGTGTGGCTGCTACTCCCCACATGGACTGGCCACAGTGAGTCAAGCTTGGGGCAAGTCTCTGATGCCCACAGTGTCACCCAGGGGTCTTGGCCTGCATTGGCTCAAGCCTCCACCTTCCCAGCCTGCTCTGGGACTAAAGCCTAGTCCCGACTCCTAGCCCTGCTCTGGTTTGACCACCTTAATTTGGAAGCTGGGCACCAGTACTGCACCAATACTGCCCATTGTCTTTGGCCAGCCTCTAGGCAGCCTCTAGACAGGGCTGCTTCCCCTGAGGTGGCCTCCGTGTCCCCACACCTCCCCTCTCTGCACCTCCTTGCTCCCAGTGTGCCACCCTGGCCCTGATGTGTGGCTCCTGGGAGCTGTCCTTGGGAGGAGGCTGTTGTAGTTAGACCTCTGTCTGCAGTGGGGAGGCCTAGATGAGCACACACATCTTGGGGGGGAAAACTCACCAAGCAGGAGGAAGAAGGGCCCAGAAGCCAGAAGCATTATATTCTCTGCCACCATGGAGAGACCCTCCCGCTCCCAGTAACAGCAATGTGGCTTCCAGAACCCTGTGGAAAGTGGCGACGCCTGGGGCTGTGCCTCTCAGTTTACAGACTGTGGCTACTCATTTGGCTACTGTTGGGTTGGCATGACCCATGGCAGGCTCATCTTTAAGCTCCTCTGGCTAAGGGAACCCATAACTCCGGTCCTCCACCTGCAGACATGCCCCTGTAGTTACTGGATTCTGCTCCTGTTGCTTCTGAGTGGTACTAGGGAAAGGAGCAGCGGCAGCTGTGGTGGATCAGTGTGGCAGCCTTGTTCCTAATGGGTGGGGCAGAGCCATCTGCTCAACTCAGGGCCCTGGTCTTCCTCACCTAGGCCTGAACCATCAGCAAGTCTCAATCAGGATTCTGCACCCCACTCTGGTTTCCACCAGAATTACAAAGAGGGCAGGGGGGCTTTGGGAAATGACCTGAAGCCATCAAAAAATGGAGCCCTGGTTTGTCAAGCACCCTGGTCACCAGCTACTCAGTGACTGGAGCCACTTCCCTTTTGGGAAGCTCTGTGCCAAGTGGGTGGGCACTTACATTGATCATAGCATTTGAAGTGATGCGGAAGAGGGTGGCTCGCTCGTTGACGACCTTCAGCTTCTCACAGCTCTCATAGGGAATTTTGAGGCCGTCCAGCTCACTCAGGGAGCGCTGGAGTGCAGCGCCGTGCTTGGCGATGAGGTCATTGCACGTACTGAGGTCATCCAACTTCACAGAGAGGCTCTTGATGGTGTAGTGTAGCTCACTCTTGTCAGCTGGAGAGGTGGTCTCGTCGTCGTCGTCCCCAGAGTCATCTGTGGAAAGAGAAAGAGTTGCCATGGTTATTAACTGTCCAACAGGCACCAAGATGCCTATGTGGCCAGGGCCCAGGAGGAAGGAGCAGATAGAGCCGCTCAAAACAGAGTGTGCCCTAGATGGTGCCAACTCCTGCTGCCAGCCAGCCTTCCAGGGTGGGCACAGGCCCTCCTGGGTCAGTGGGAGGGGATAGGAAGGGGGGACCAGCCCTGCAGACAGTGCATGTACTGCACTTTGTCTGGGGCAGGTTTGTAGGCACCCGCCTGTGTGCAGGGCCCCAGTCCCCTACACTGTACCATGTAGCCCAGGGTGCACCATGCTGACTGGAGAGGTGGAGACTGCTGTGAGGAACAGCTCCTTTTGCAGACCAGAGACCCTGGATAAAGGCCACCTCTTTTCCCTGCATCACAGGCCCAGCTTAAGCTGACCCACACTTTCCTGCCAGCCTCACTTTGTCCAAAGCTCTACACCCACGCCAGGGGCCCCCTGTGCCCTGCAACACTTGAGGCCTTTCCCACCGGTCCTCACTGCCTGGAACCTCCTGACACCTACCCCACCTTCTGAGAGGCCTCACCCCTACCCAGCCTCAACCCCATGCCCCCTATCTTCAAAGCCTGCCTGAAGACACTCAGGCCAAAGTCATGCTCCCCCACCCTGCTGCTACTCTGTGCCATCCTCCTACAGCTCCCCACCTGCCTCCCTTGTGGCATTTGTTGAATGCCTTCTGTCCAGACACTGGCTGTGGCATCTCCATGGCCTTGTCAGGGTAGAGACTATACTATCTCCCAGGGACAGACAGGGAGCTGAGGATCAGACAGGTAAAGTCATGCCCCAGGCCACCTGGTTAGTCTGCCTCTGTAGCCACCTTCTTTATGCCGGGCCGCTGGGCCCTCTGTGAGTGGACCAGGTGTGTGCCCCCTCGTCTCCAGGCCGAGCCCTCTCACCTCTCACAGAGCTGCCCAGGCGCCCTCAGCATGGCCCTTCTTGGGAATCTGGGGTGCCTTGGAGCCCAGCCCTCAGCCAGCCCTGCCTGTGTTCAAAGGGCTGCAGGGTCATGAGGACCTCAGGGGGCGCACTGCCGTGGGTGGGGCACAGGGGCAGCTGGCGGGGCTCTGCTGCTGCTTTAGCACTAGGCACATGACAATAAAGAGGCAGACACCGCCATGTGAATGCCAGAGCCTATAACTGCCAGGGGTTTCTGCAATGTCTTGTTTTAGAAATAATCGGCACAAAACATTTTTTCTTTTGTAAAGGAAATCTATAACCCAAGATACAAAAAATTTTAAAAAGACACATACTGTGAAGGAACAGATTTCTTCCCATGGTAGACAGGGTGCGTGGGGGTGGCCATGGCTGTGTTTCTACTCTGAGCATGCCCCGAGCTGGTGGCAGTGCCAGGACAGCCAGCAGCTTGGCCCCTGATTGGGTTGGACACTGGGGGTGCAGCATCCACCGCACACTCTGTTCCCGCTGGTCACAAGGGCCGTGGGTCAGCATCCAGGCTTGGAACAGGCACTCTCCGTCTTCCCACCACAGCCAGCCCACTACCACTTGGAAATGCCCTGGTGTCTGGAGACTACATGTGCTGCACCTGCCTCTGGGCCACTTGCTTGATCAGTGTGAACACAGCCTCACAGTGGTGGGTGGACAGTGAGAAATGAGAAAATGCACTTTCTTAGACACCAAGGCACCAGTTCAGGGTGCTGCTGATAAGGGGGCAGAGCCAGATCTGAATCCAGGTCTGTCAGGCATCACTCATTTATGATGCAATCTCCTGTCACCTTTCCGGGTTCAACACATGTAACAACCAGAATGGCCAACCACCGACCAATCAGAACAGAAGCTGCTGTGCGCTGGGAGGGGTGTGTGGGGGACACACTGGCTGCGGGTCAGTCTGAATGGGACCCCTCCCACTCCCCCACCCCTGTGCTCTAAGCAAGAAGCACAAGTGGCTTAACTCTGAGCATCTGCCTGTATGGTAGGCAGAGATGAGTAACCACATTTCTCTTTAACTTGTTAATTAGTACGCCTTTAAAAGCAGCTCTTAGGGTCCAAGTTCAGGTCCAGCGGCCAGGGATGAGAGGATGTACTTGTTCTGCTCCCAAATCATGGGCCGTGTTGTTGAGAAAGAGATGGGAAGATTCTTGGGTCAGCAGTTCCCAGCAGCACAGTGTGTTCTATGGGGATGGGCAGGGAGAGTCTCTGCCAGAGGAACAGTGAGATCAGGAGAGCGAGTGAGGGAAGGCAGGTGTGGCAGTGGAGCAAGAGAGAGGGAGGCAGTGGGTGAGTGAAGGAATGAATGATCTTGGGAGTTTCACAGGAGGCCTATCTAGGGGTTCTCAGTGGAACACACAGAGGTGGCAGGTCACACACAGGAATGGGAGGGCAGACTGGAGATGGGCATAAGCAGTAGGGGTGAGACACCGAGGAGCCAGTTGGAGAGAGGGGATGGTAAAGGGCCTCTGGCACAGCTGAGGAGACTAAGCCTTCATCCCTTGGCAAGAGGGAGACTGTGGGCATTTGAGCAGAGATCCCTGGGAAAGATGAAACTGGTGACAAGTGGCAGGATGAGCAGACTGAAGGGGCAGAGAGGCCAGAGGCCTGGCAGGGCCAGAGAAGCCACAGGAGGCCAGGGGCTGGAAAGAACAAGACCTCTGAACCCAGCTCAGAAGTGCTGATGGCAGCACCCACCGAGCTCCAAGGCCACAACTGTCTAGTGACAACCATGCTCCCCAGCAGTCCCCATCCCTGTCCAGTCCTCAAGGAGGAGGGGGTAGGTGTCACTCAGAAGCTGACATGTGGCCCTGTTGTTCACTTTGCCACAATGTCATGGGCTATTCAGACACCTACTGAGCACAGCGTTGTGAACCCCCCCACTCAAGCCTGGGCAGAAGCAGAGCTGAACCACGAAGGGAACTCTCTGCCTCTGATATGATGAAGTCTGACCACACTGAGTCTCCAGGTCACAATCTGGGGTCAGGGATCCTTGCTAGGAGCAGACTGACATTAGAAGGAGAGATGAAACTCACTACTAGAGACATAAATAAAACTATTGAACGTGACACTACTTGAATTAAGAAAAAAGAATGAATGGCATTGAATTAGCTTAGGCTTTCTGAAGGATAAACCAACAGATAGATACCCATCAAGAGCCACAAGGAAGAGCCTGCTTCTTCCTTTGATGGGGGAATTCTACTGGCAGGGAATTTGGTCCAAAGGAAGGCAAACACTTGTATGCACAAAACTGTTCAGGCCTGTGGCTCTCAAGCTTCTGGTCTTGGGGCTCCTCAAGCTTTTATGACCTGCACATCCCTTCTGTTCAATCCGCGTCTCCACAACCCGGCAAGCACTAACCTATCCAGAAACATTAAAATCCTATGGAAGTTTTACAACTATTTTAATACAAGAATAACAGCAACCAAAATCTAAGGCCACATCAAACCCATGCACCTGGGCACAGCCCCTGGCCTGCCTCTAAGCCCATGTAAAGGCCAAGACGTAGTACACTGAGCAGCTTTTGGGGGAGAGGGTGCCGGAGTGTCCTGGGGTGGTATAAAAAGGAGGTGTCAGAACAGGTTTGAAGGCTTGAGTTCCGGGTTCACATTGAACTCTGCGGCTATGTGGGGCTATCTTCCTTCTTTGAGCCTTGGAATCCTCCTGTGTACAGAAGAACACCAACACCCACATCCTGGTTGAGGGGCACCTGGGTGTCAGGTGGGCCAGATCGGGTGGGATTATCCCTCGCAACAGCCACACTGAGGGGGATCTCTGTGCTTCTGGCCTGGGAAACAAGATGTAACGCCAGCAGAAGCACGCCCTGGTTTTCATGTGCTGGCTGAACCCAGTGCCTTTCCATTACCTCCCAGAAAAAGATGGTCCTTTAAAGAAAGGGTGAAATGTTTCACCAGCCAGGACACAGTGCAGACCTGGGCTCGGGCCCACCCAAGTTTCAGTGGAGACCAGAAAGGAACCTGTGGATGCCTAGCAGGTGGTATCTCTGCCTAAGGCCCAGGGGTGAAGCCAGGAGTGGGGTGTGGGGTGGAAAAGCTGCACTGCAGACGTGCTGAGGCGAGGGAGGGAGGCGGGGAGCTGGCCCCAGGCTCAGAGCCGTGGTGGCCCATTGTCTTGGTTGTCTGTCCCCCGGGGCTGCTGTGCAGAGCACCAGGAAATGTTCTACTTTTCTGGGCCTCTACTCCTCTTTGCTGTTTTGTCTCTGTTCAGAACTTTTGAGAAGGCCGACTCTGGCCCTCAGACAAAGGACAAGTGTCTAACACTGAGGGTAGCTCCAAGGACAAAGGGATGTGATGGAGCAGCATGGCTCCCAGTCCTTACTGTCTTCTGCTCCACTCCTCCCATTTTCTTCAGGTGCTGTCAGCTGATACCAGAGTAGCAAAAGTGTTCTGGCAGCCTCTCTGGGCCATCAGGTGACAGCACTGATGGAGTGGCCAGGCTGAACCCAGGACTGGCCCCTGAACTCCCCCTGGAGCATGGACCCCTTCAGGTCATGCCCATGGCATCCAGGCCCATGCCTTTGCTTTCAGATGGGAAAACTGAGGCCAGACAGAGGAGAGTAGCTTAGTCAAGGTCAGACACTGGAGCAGCAGCAACGGCAGTTGTAATTAGCTCTTACTGAGCCCTCCTCTGTCAGCTATGGCCTTGACCATGGGCAGACTCTTTACAAGTGGCTAGGATGCATTTGCGGAGGCTCAGAGCCTGGGTCCTGGAGCCGATGACCCAGATGCCTTTCCTAGGAGGGGAGTAGGTGGGGCGCACTGCTTTGCACCCCCGCCATCAGAGCTTCCTCCCCAGGATGCCAGCCTCTGATCACTGACACCCACCAGCTGCTGACACCAAGAGCCCACAGCGCTGGGGGGCACTCAGATCTGTAGGGGCAGAGTGCTGGGGCTCACTTTCTCCCTCAGCACAGCCCAGGGGTGGGAGCAGGCAGGAGAGGATGAGGGACTGCCTTTACCGGGCAGCAGGTGTGAGCAAAAGGGCC